TGTAATTTGAAAGCTTTGTTTTTGCATTTGGATTATTAATTTTATTGTGATTATTTGTATCTTTAGATTGATTTAGAGCAAGGTTGAAATCGCCACATATTATATATTCAACATTTTGAAGTTCGTCAAGAACTTTAGTCAAGTTTTCATAAAAATCAGGATTGTCTGTATTTGAACCATATAGTGTTACTAGAGTAAGTCTTTTTTTCAATAGTGATATCAAGAGCAAGCAATTTTCCGTTATCGTCTTTTACCATTTTGTGTATTTCAAATTCAAAATTATTGTTTAACATAATACTGACGCCCCTTGCATTTGACTGGTGTGAATTGAATAAACAGGTGTATCCCCATTCTGACATGATGCGGTTTTCTATATCGTTAGTGAAATGTGTATCATGTAGACATATTATGCTAAAATCGCTGAAGTTTGACTTAAAATAATTTAAAACATCAGATCTTTTTTCTTTTGAACACAAACCCGACAGTTCACCGATGCGATTTTGACATTACCTGACTGTGTCATAGACACTTCTGTTCAATGTTCTTACTTTCAGATTGGTCACCTGCTGTGTCTTATAATAAACATGCGTGAATGCGTAAGCTGTTGAAGTTATTCGATAAGATTCACAATCAATGTTAAAGTTATTTTGAGAGTTGTGAGAAAGGACGAGACAGTACGATTCAAAAGATACGATACAGAACAATACAAAGAAAATCGTACTACTCAACGATTTCAAATTGGACATAGTTAATACTATGGCCATACACAAAATCCGTGATTAGTACTAACCAGGACATGAGACTCACCAATTACTTATCGGCATGGTCTTAAGTTATACAGTATCAACACAGTACAGCATGGCAATAACTTGGAGTGACTCTTTGTCTCCTAGACGCTTCCACTATTAGTAGTACTAGGTTATTTCCAAACAAGAATGAAGCGTTTTGGACCATCAGAAAACAGTTTTTAGGTCACCTGAGCTTTAGCTCAAGTGACCTATTGCTATCCGTTTTCGTCCGTCGTCGTCCGTCGTCCGTAACATTTTACATTTCAAACTTAAAGTCAAGTTCTGCTTGGCCGATTGATCTGAAAGTTGGTAGGAATGATCGCCTCATGGACCTGACAAAATGTTATTTTTTGGGTCGTTCAGAAATCCAATAGGGCCGCCACGGCCGCCGTTTTGAAAAACTATTTCAAACTTAATGTCAAGTTCTGCTAAACCGATTGAACTGAAACTTTGTAGGAATGATCGACTCCTGGTCCTGACAAAGATTTGTTATTTTTCGGGTCAATCAGAAATACAATATGGCCACCATGGTCGCCATTTTGAAAAACTATTTCAAACTTAAAAACAAGTTCTAATAGGCCGATCTCACTGAAAATCGGTCTAGGAATGATAAGATCATGGTCCTGACAAAGATTTGTTATTTTTCGGGGCAATCAGAAATACAATATGGCCACCATGGCCGCCATTTTGAAAAACTATTTCAAACTTAAAAACAAGTTCTAATAGGCCGATCTCACTGAAAATCGGTCTAGGAATGATCAGTTCATGGTCCTGACAAAGTTAAGTTAATATTATACTTTACTATTTTTTACTAAAATTGGTACATATTTCAACAACAAAAATAAAAAACTGCAGGACTCAGGTGACCGTTAAGGTCCATGGGCCTCTCGTTTAATAGTGAGTTCTATGGTATATCCATATCTCAATATGGACAGTCAATTATTTTGATTTGGACAATAGATACTGCACATATATGGTTACAGCATTTAAGCTAATAGCCATCACGATACACGTATTTGGTTTTCATTGAGATAACCTGAGGATGATGAAAGAATTGAGGAGAGGTATGAAGAGCGACATTTTTATAACATGATATGAGTAAGGACGACGAACACAATTTCAATATGATGTATACTATGTACATCTACAAATCGACCAAACCCACAAAAATTGACCTGCAATACAGTACGTTATATGAGTCGAGGTAGATCTAAAAGATCTGCTGTATAAGAAAAATATAATATCATTTTAGTATTTATAAGATCCTTTCAGACCTCGAAACACCTAAAAAATGAAAACCAGAGCTGACTACTACTTAAGTACGTTTATAATGTTATTGGGTTGTACTAGGGGGGAAATCATGAGTTATGAATTGGGACTGGAGCAGGCTCTATATAAAATTTTACTGTCGAGTGCGCCAAATACAGTAGGGTAGCATATTGGTATAGCCAGTGCTATTCAGAGAGCATCATGTCTCTAGTATACTGTACCTTTGAAAAAAGTTAGTTGTAAATTATCTATTTTAAACAAGATGTTTTGTGCTTTCAATCAGTTCATCGAGGTCAGTCATTTCTAATTTGGTGTTTCTGTCCATCAACTGTCTCCACCTTTAGTTTCCTATTTTGAACGTTATCTGTTGATGTTGGTACGCCCTATCAAGTAGGGATTTGATCTGCTGGGTGATGTCTTCTTTAATTAATATACCAGTGTTCTTGAGGTTCGAACGGTGTTTGATGATGGCCAACTTTGTTCTCCCGACACATTTGCAGATGATGGTTCGCAGTTTTCCAGTTTTGAAGTTTCCCAATCTGTGACATATCTCGATGTCGTCAGTTTGTTTGTTTGTTTGATTTTGTTTAACGTCCTATTAACAGCTAAGGTCATTTAAGGACGGCCTCCCCTGGGTGCAAGATGCATGCGTGTAGTGTATGTGTGTGTATTTTGGGAGGCTGCGATATGTTCGTGTTTGTCTCCTTGTGATAGCGCGAAACTGATGCCGACTTTATAGTGCTACCTCACTGAAACATTCTGCCGAAGACACCCAGCAGGACGCCCCACCCGGTCACATTATACTGACAACGGGCGAACCAGTCGTCCCACTCCTAATTTGCTGAGCGTTAAGCAGGAGTATAAACTACCATTTTTAAAGACTTTGGTATGTCTCGGCCAGGGGACAGAACCCAAAGCCTTCCTCACAGGGGCGAACGCTCAACAAATGGCCAAAAGTGAGGCATTGTCAAGGGAGACATTAGGAAGAAGAAAGTTATTTAGAAAGGAGAGAAGAGATAAGGTCCCAAATTTAGTCGCCTCTTACGATCATGCAATGGGGGGCAGCAGGTACAATTCTTACGCCCTACCTGCAGGGAGAAAATGTCGTCAGGAACAATATTTTTGTTCAGTTTTAAATTGGAGTTGCACACTTTCACTATCTTATCAACATAATCTTCCACAGTCTCGTTGGCGTTGGTGTTGGATACACCATATATTCGGATACTATTGGTGCGTCCGTGTTGGTCAAGGTCATTTATTACCTCAAAGTTCTCCTCGATGTAGTCGTGTAGCTGACAGATTTGGTTCTTTTGGTCCTCGTTGTCTTTTTCAAGATGTTGGACAGACTCTTTAAGTGTCTGATTCTCGGCGACAAGAGTATGAATATCTCTTTTGAGTCTTTCATTGTCTTCATTAAAGGAGTCTCTTACATTGGAGATTTTCTCGTCGAATTTATAGGTGAATTGTTCAATAGCAAATGTTAACTGGGTTTTGGTGATAAGCAGTTTTATTTGCTCAGTAAGATCTTCTTTAGATGAAAGTACCAGTCTCTCTATCCTTTTGAGATGTTTGCCAAGATCCATATCTCCGCTCAAGTCAGTAGTCTCGTTTATGTGTTCAGGGATCAAATCTTTCTTCTTTTCGGCGTTCATTTGGGGTATGCTTTTTTGTTTTTTGTCTAGTACTTTGGGTTTTTTCTGTCTGTTTGTTACTTTTTCCTTACTTTATCTCCTTTACATCGGGACTTTCATTTAATTCTGATGTTTCCTCAAAACTGCAGTCAGAATTGGAACCTCCAGTTTTCCTTTTTGACGGATTAGATGACATGTTTTTAATTCACACAAATACCAACATAGACGCATGTAAACATATGGGAGAGCACTGTTTGTTTATAGTTCAATATCTGTGTTCCTATGTGGCACGCACGAGATGGTCAAAACCGGTTTGATTGGTTGCACAGGTACAGTTCAGGTAGTAGGGCTATATAAAGGTCGTGTGTCCGACCAGTGTATTATTTATACAATGTTTATAAACGACATAAATACATATTTTCCGGGGTATACTATAGACTCACCGCCTCCAACAGGTCTTACAAGGATGTGTAGTGTTTTTTAAGGAGCCAGGTGTCTTTCGCTAATCACAAGGAACGTAAATTTGCCGGATCAGTGTACTGCTTGTGTCCATTCGCCCACCGGAAGTCATTTATCATATTTTATTAGAAATTTCGTTTATAAACTAGAATAGGAAATAAAGTTTTCAAAATCGATATTTTCCCCCAAAATATTTGTGCGTGATGACGTCATAAATTTGGCGGGAAACGGCACGTCTTTGGGAAAAATGGCAAAATGTTACGTTTACTTTGACTCATACAAGGACTTTCGCCTCATTGAATAGTGGTTTGAAAAACTCCAAACAGACCAAGAGCTGGTAAGTGTGGCCATGTCACATGATCAAACACAGAAAAAAGGCTGACTGGAGGGGACTGGATTGGGGAGAATCTCACATTGACATATTCAATGACATTATCTAGAAATGTCTTGTATGTCTTGTCAAAATCAAATGGTGATTTCCTTTTTGGATTTTTTTACCTGTCTTGTTAGATCCTTTCCAGTTTGTAGTTCAATATCTTGTGACAGATTTGAGTTCAGTTTGTTGAGGTATTCTCCTGGCCTGTGTTTCAGCTCTTCCAACCGCAACAAACAGGTTTGGAGTTTTACCATAACGTCAGTTATGAACAGTTCTTCATTTTGAAATTGGCGGCTCAGATCTGCCAATATTTTAGTCACATCAATCATGAAGTACAGAAACCTCACAAACCTTTTAGAGCATATCTCTTGAACTATCCCCTTAGCTCTAGCCTTGTCATCACCTTTGCCTGTGCTAGCAGCATGATTAAGGTGGTAAACCACAGAGGGAAAACTTTTTTCAATAGCAATTAATGCCCTATGGCGACTTGCTATCCAACGAGTTATTTTGGAGCCTTGTTTGAGAAATGGTACTCTCTTCGAGAATCTTGGCTATCTCGGATAATTCTCGTCTCCGCTTTGGAGAATAGTAGTAGAACTTGTAGACAAGTTGTACTGTGCTCTGAAATATTGTGAGGTACTTGACTTGTTTGATGGCATCGAGAACACCGAATTCTAAATTGTGTGCTACACAATGAGGCACAACAATGTCTCGGCCAACAAGTCTTTCTCTCATCCTAGTTGCCACCCCGGTTTTGGAGCCCGACAAGACAGCAGCCCCATCAAAATTGCACCAAACCAACTCGGAGTCTACCAGTTCCCTGCTTATCCCCACACTGTTAAGAGCCTCATCGATGCCAGTTAGCACGCCCTCAGCGTGTGCTGACTGCAAGGCAACAATGCTGACAAACTGCGTAACGGGGTGACCATTGATACCAACATATCTGACGAAGACAGTTTCTTGTTCTGTTACAGAAGAGTGTGTAGAGCCATCAGACAATACTGAAAGAAACCTAGCATTTCGTAGCACCTCAATTATCTTTGATTTTTCAGTGTCAACAATTGATGATACAATATCTTTACAACCATTGTAGTTCTGATACATACTCCATTTTTTTGTTGTAGCTCACAAAGGGATTGGAATTTTGAATAGGCAATATTTTCTTTGGCGACATAGAAAGCAGTATTGAACAACGCAGACATTCTTTTAACAGTTGTGTCATTCAATGTTTTGGCAGCTTGATGGGATGCTTGTTGAACAGGTGTAGTTTCTTTTGTGTTTATGTTTTTTCAACCTTCCATTTCCCCTCGCATTTTAGATGTTTGCCCGATTTATTATGGTGAAACAGTGTGTCCTCTCTGAAATTTCCACCCGCACCCCAGCCTACAAATAATGCAGATTTCACATCAGCCAGTGGTGGGTACTCCCTACAAAATGTACAAAACATTTCATCCTTTTTTTCATCAAATGAAACCCATTCAAATCTGGACTCCCAGTCTTTCTGATATTTCCTTTTTTTCTTTTTCTTTTCTCCCTCCACACCACTCATGGCCCCCTTGCTTTTAGTTTCACTCATCATGGCCCTCTGGTTTTCATCATCTTTCTTTTCATCCTGACCAACACCAGTCACAGCTACCTTAAGCTTGGTTTCACTTTTAATCATGCTCATGGCCCCCTGGTTTTCGTCTTTTCCCCTTTTGGCTTCATGAATTTGGGGAAATTCCCCCTCGTTTTTATCATGTTTCCTTTTACTCAGAGCAGACCCTGTAAGCAAATAGTGTAAGCTTACAATAAAAAAACAAGTTTGGTATGTCACACATATTTGCCAATCTGGACTCGTTATATTCCGACATGAACGGGAATAAAAATCAAAGACAGAAACAGGAATTATATCGTGGCAACTTTATTGACCATTAATTTATATATACGAATGTCATCCCACACACATAAGTATTACTGTAAGTGTGCATATATTCATTATAAATCCTAACGTATCGGCACCGTGAGTGATTTTTCTGAACCCTTGCCGAAGTGTCAACGTAAATTATTTGCAACTGCATTTACTCCCGAGTTAATTTATCGTAAATACAATTACTACACATCATAACTAGCAACATATGTTTGATTTCCATTCATCAAATATATCGTGTCAACACTGTACCTTTTGTGAAAAAGGGGTGAAGTTTCACTTCCATCTTTAGTTTCGATTAGTTACGGAACATTATGTAGTCTAGTTCCCTGCTGCGATTGCTGCAGTCGGGCCCCGCAGTACATCGTTCAGGACAATTTGATTCAAGCGCTCAAGTGATCTTTATGACAAGCATGAAAACGGCATGTTTTACGTTGTTTACTTCCGATGCTGTAACGACACTTACTTGGTAAAAAGTGTTCCATTGATTATTCATCACAATATTTAGGCGACAGATCTAGTGTATGTTTCAGTAATATTGACTCGGCACCGGGACGAGTGTGGTTGTAACTAAAAAATACTAGTGTGGTTGTAAATTCCACTGGTCCTTTTCAATTTTCACCCGGTCAGGACGAGTGGCCGTTCTATTACTAGTTTCTCCAGACTTGACCTCAAACATTTACAGACATGGTTTGCGCATTCGACTTTGATAACATGCTTTCACCATATAGGAACTTACTCCTGATTCCGTTCAAATACTGAGGAGTCACCATCACCGATTAACCTCATATAACTTGGACTTCATCCGCTCAGCAAATTAGGAGTGGGACGACTGGTTCGCCCGTTGTCAGTATAATGTGACCGGGTGGCGTCCTGCTGGGTGTCTTCGGCAGTATGTTTCAGTGAGGTAGCACTACAAAGTCGGCATCAGTTCCGCGCTATCACAAGGAGACAAACACGAACATATCGCAGCCTCCCAAAACACACACACATACACTACACGCATGCATCTTGCACACAGGGGAGGGCGTCCTTAAATGACATTAGCTGTTAATAGGACGTTAAACAAAATAAAACCAAACCAAAAGCCTGTTGGAATTCTTCTATAATCACATTACTTTCCATTGTCTGACTGGTTCCATCCCAAGTTTTAAAGCAGTTGTGCTGCTGTGGTGTTGTATGGCATCCCTTAGATTGGCTACAAATATAACAATATTTTCTACGAATGCCAATATGGAGCAAACGTTTGGTGTAAGCTCCAATCACAATTGCATTATACGAGTGTTTGTGCGTTCTTTTACTCCATCCACCATTTGTTATCACAGTGACAGCTGGTACTCCCTCATGGTAGCTGTCTGTTTCTATAGCATGCTGTCTTTCCTCCACGCCAGCAGCAGGCACCTCTTCCTGAAGCACCTGCTTCCACCATGCACTAATTTCACTTTCACTTTTTTGCATATGTACAGCGTTTCATCCCTGGAAAGTCCATGGTTCCTAATGTCTCATTTAAATGAGCTGAACCATTCCCAGTGGCCATGCAAACAGCATGTACATTGATATCGCAATGGCGACTGTTGTCTGTATTTAACTTTTTACTTGTTTCCAGGGAAAAGGACAAACCACATCCTTTACAATTGGCGGATATAATTGATGCCAGGCCGTACGCTTCTATGCCAGAAACAAGTGTAATTGGGGATTGTCCATCAGCTGCAAAATCCAACGCCTTTTCACACTGACATGCATGTATGGTGAGATTAGAAACAAGATTTTGGAGTTAGTCAAGAAATATTATTTGATAGGAATTATGGCACTGTTAGAATTTTTTACCTTAACCCTCTTTACCGCTTCTTGTCATCCGAGAACTTTCACTATTTCCAGCATTAATCGATGATGTATTTACTACTGTTCTCCTTTTTATTTTTACCTTACAACCTTTCCTCCTGCTTTCATACCGATAAACTGGCCTACCCTTCGCTTTGATTCCACCACTTCCACCTTTCCTTCTATTCCTGTGCCTGCCACCGCCTAGGCCAAATTGATAACAAACTTTACCCTTTACCATGTTATGGTATAGTCTCCTCCTTAATAATTGTAACATAAATTACAGGAATTTTCCTTTTTCTTGTACACTGCAAAAAACAACGTAATTTGAAGAAGGGGTGTTATTTTAAACAAGAGGCTCAGAGGGCCTGTATTGCTCACCTGAATATGTTTGAAATAATTGGTATGAAGAAAAAAATAGCACTCCATGTAGGTGCTGTAAGTACATATGAAATTTCAGAAAGATCCATCCAGTACTTGAGATATAGCGAGAACAAACTTCAAACAGAGCCCCACCCCTATACCCCTCAGGGGTCATATCCACCAATGATACAAAACTGAGACCCCTTGGCCCAAGGATGCTCAAGACTAAGTCAGGATAAAATCCCTTAATCCCGACGGTCGAAGAAGGATTTTAAAGGTTTTACCGCTATTTCTCCTATTAGGCCCCGCACTTCTACCCCCTGGGAGACCACGTGGAGAAGAAGGATATTACAGAGTTTTCTATATTTTCCCTATTGGGACTCGTCCCGCAGCCCCCAGGGGGTGCCAAGACCCACCGTTTTTACAAAAATAGTTCCCCCTTTACCCAAGGATGCTCCACACCAAATATGGACCGAATCCCTTTCGTTCCTACAGAAGTAGCACGATTTTAAAGAATAATTTGCTATATTTCCCCCAATCTGATTAAAATCAAATGTTACATGGCTTCGTTAACTTCGTTCTACGCCTGAACATCTGAGTGTGCCGCGGTCAGGGTCACGTTCAGGTGACCTTTATATTTATAAATACTCATTAAATTTTGACCAATCAGAGACCCTCTTTCAAAAGGGCGCTCAGAGTTGTGACAAATATGGTAGACATTGATGAGAATGATGCGAAAGTTCTGAAGGTATTTGAGATTGATCGTCTGAAACCCGAACAGAAAAAGATAATAGAAGCTTTATTAGAGAAGAAAGACTGTATGGCGCTGTTGCCTATGCAATTATTACCCAATGGGTACGTTTTCCTTCGCATCGTAGAAACGTCAGTTCCCGCCGCCATATTGTTTTGGAAAACTAATCTGTTCGATACCCCTCGCTTTTTATCTATCAACCATGATATTCCGATTCGCTGGCAAACTTTTGCCAGCGCGCCTCAGATTGGTTCATCATAAGGTCACTTGATCGTGACCCTGACCGCGGCACATTCAGATGTTCAGGCGGAGCCATGTAACAGATGATTTTGATAAGATTGTATTTCCCCTATTAAGCCCCGCCCCTCGGCCCCAAGGGGGGCCAGACCAACCATTTATACTAAATTTGTTCCCCTTCCACCAAGGATGCTTCTGACCAAATATGGACCAAATCCTTTCATTCTTACAGAAAAGGAAGTATTTTAAAGAATTTGTTTTTCCTCTATTGGGCCCCGCCCCTCAGCCCAAGTCAAAATATACTCTGCCGTTCAGGACAAGTAGCGTCTTAAAGGAAAAGTTGACGGACGGACGGACGACTGACGATGGACGCTGCGGTATGGCATAAGCCCACCATGGTCCTTCGGAACAGGTGAGCTAAAAAAGTGGTGCAATTGATTCAATTTGCACAACAGATACTCTGTGTAGCCAAACAGGTGAGGGCCTATGACACCTCCCTGAACACCTCCCTGGTGTTCACCAGAAAGCAATGCACCTGCTTACAGTTAATTGTTAACAAAATTCGTCGCAAGCTTGGCGTGACTAATAAAGTTGTTGTAACCAATCAATTTTAAGATCTTGCCACTTTTTTTTTAAGCTAAGATTCAGAAAGTGCCTTACTGTGGCTAAAAAAGCGTATTTATCTTAAAATTCATGAGCATAGCTCTACCTTATGACTGCTTTTTTGACACAGCAGGACCATTCTCTGGAAGCCAAAATGACGCAAGCATAATATTTTTTTATAGAAAGCTCACATGGTTAGAGCAAGACGACATTATAGTCGTTGATTGTGCGTGCCCCTGCTGATCGGGGATCGAGAAAACAATACACGTTGGCCCGTATTCAGGAAACCGTATCTCATCCTTAAGCATGGATTTTGTGCTCAAACCAACTTTCTTGTAACTCACTTAATGTTTGTCACAGGATCAAAACGTCGAGTGGAAACACCAAAAGCAGTATCCAGATTTTCTCAATCATTGACAA